CTGCTCTATCTTTACAAGAGTCAGATCCGAACAAAATGGTGTATTGCTGCCATATCTGGGCTGGAGCTGCCCAATCCTCACTTTCCAGCTTGTATCACTTTAAAAGTACCTGACTCCTTATGCCCTGCTCTATCTTTACAAGAATCAGATCAGACCAAAAATGGTGTATTGCTGCCATATCTGGGCTGGAGCTGCCCAATCCTCACTTTCAAATTGTATCATTTTTAAAAGGACCTGACTCCTTATGCCCTGCTCTATCTTTACAAGAGTCAGATCAGACCAAAATGGTTTATTGCTGCCATATCTGGGCTGGAGCTGCCCAATCCTCACTTTCCAGCTTTTTCAGTTATGCCCTGCTATCTTTACAAGAATTAGATCAGACCAAAAATGGTGTATTGCTGCCATATCCTGACTTTCCAAATTGTATCACTTTAAAATGCCTGACTCCTTATGCCCTCTCTATCTTTACAAGAGTCAGATCAGAACAAAAATGGTTTATTGCTGCCATATCTGGGCTGGAGCTGCCCAATCCTCACTTTTCAGCTTGTATCACTTTAAAAAGTACCTGACACCTTATGCCCTGCTCTATCTTTACAAGAGTCAGATCAGACCAAAAATGGTGTATTGCTGCCATATCTGGGGGAGCTGCCCAATCCTCACTTTCCAAATTGTATCACTTTAAAATGTACCTGACACCTTATGCCCTGCTCTATCTTTACAAGAAGTCAGATCAGAACAAAAATGGTTTATTGCTGCCATATCTGGGCTGGAGCTGCCCAATCCTCACTTTTCAGTTTGTATCACTTTAAAATGTACCTGACTCCTTATGCCCTGCTCTATCTTTACAAGAGTCAGATCAGAACAAAATGGTTTATTGCTGCCATATCTGGGCTGGAGCTGCCCAATCCTCACTTTTCAGTTTGTATCACTTTAAAAAGTACCTGACTCCTTATGCCCTGTTCTATCTTTACAAGAGTCAGATCAGACCAAAAATGGTGTATTGCTGCCATATCTGGGCTGGAGCTGCCCAATCCTCACTTTCCAGCTTGTATCACTTTAAAAAGTACCTGACACCTTATGCCCTGCTCTATCTTTACAAGAATCAGATCAGACCAAAAATGGTGTATTGCTGCCATATCTGGGGGGGAGATGCCCAATCCTCACTTTCCAAATTGTATCACTTTAAAATGTACCTGACTCCTTATGCCCCTGCTCTATCTTTACAAGAGTCAGATCAGAACAAAATGGTTTATTGCTGCCATATCTGGGCTGGAGCTGCCCAATCCTCACTTTTTCAGTTTGTATCACTTTAAAAAGTACCTGACTCCTTATGCCCTGCTCTATCTTTACAAGAGTAAGATCAGACCAAAAAATGGTGTATTGCTGCCATATCTGGGCTGGAGCTGCCCAATCCTCACTTTCCAGCTTGTATCACTTTAAAAAGTACCTGACACCTTATGCCCTGCTCTATCTTTACAAGAATCAGATCAGACCAAAAATGGTGTATTGCTGCCATATCTGGGGGGGAGCTGCCCAATCCTCACTTTCCAAATTGTATCACTTTAAAATGTACCTGACTCCTTATGCCCTGCTCTATCTTTACAAGAGTCAGATCAGAACAAAAATGGTTTATTGCTGCCATATCTGGGCTGGAGCTGCCCAATCCTCACTTTCCAGCTTGTATCACTTTAAAAAAGTACCTGACTCCTTATGCCCTGCTCTATCTTTACAAGAGTCAGATCAGACCAAAAATGGTTTATTGCTGCCATATCTGGGCTGGAGCTGCCCAATCCTCACTTTCCAGCTTGTATCACTTTAAAAGTACCTGACACCTTATGCCCTGCTCTATCTTTACAAGAGTCAGATCAGACCAAAATGGTGTATTGCTGCCATATCTGGGGGAGCTGCCCAATCCTCACTTTCCAAATTGTATCACTTTAAATGTACCTGACTCCTTATGCCTGCTCTATCTTTACAAGAGTCAGATCAGAACAAAATGGTTTATTGCCATATCTGGGCTGGAGCTGCCCAATCCTCACTTTTCAGTTTGTATCACTTTAAAAAGTACCTGACTCTTATGCCCTGCTCTATCTTTACAAGAGTCAGATCAGACCAAAATGGTTTATTGCTGCCATATCTGGGCTGGAGCTGCCCAATCCTCACTTTCCAGCTTGTATCACTTTAAAAGTACCTGACACCTTATGCCCTGCTCTATCTTTACAAGAATCAGATCAGACCAAAATGGTGTATTGCTGCCATATCTGGGGGAGCTGCCCAATCCTCACTTTCCAAATTGTATCACTTTAAAATGTACCTGACTCCTTATGCCCTGCTCTATCTTTACAAGAGTCAGATCAGAACAAAAATGGTTTATTGCTGCCATATCTGGGATGGAGGCTTTTCAGTTTGTATCACTTTAAAAAGGACCTGACTCCTTTATGCCTGCTCTATCTTTACAAGAATCAGATACCCATATCTGGGGTGGAGTTGCCCAATCCTCACTTTCCAAATTGTATCATTTTAAAAATGTACCTGACTCTTTTGCCCTGCTCTAATTTACAAGAGTCAGATCCGAACAAAATGGTGTATTGCTGCCATATCTGGGCTGAGCTGCCCAATCCTCACTTTCCAGCTTGTATCACTTTAAAAAGTATGACTCCTTATGCCCTGCTCTATCTTTACAAGAATCAGATCAGACCAAAAATGGTGTATTGCTGCCATATCTGGGCTGGAGCTGCCCAATCCTCACTTTCCAAATTGTATCATTTTAAAAAGGACCTGACTCCTTATGCCCTGCTCTATCTTTACAAGAGTCAGATCAGACCAAAAATGGTTTATTGCTGCCATATCTGGGCTGGAGCTGCCCAATCCTCACTTTCCAGCTTGTATCACTTTAAAAAGTACCTGACACCTTATGCCCTGCTCTATCTTTACAAGAATCAGATCAGACCAAAAAAATGGTGTATTGCTGCCATATCTGGGGGGGAGATGCCCAATCCTCACTTTCCAAATTGTATCACTTTAAAATGTACCTGACTCCTTATGCCCTGCTCTTTCTTTACAAGAGTCAGATCAGAACAAAAATGGTTTATTGCTGCCATATCTGGGCTGGAGCTGCCCAATCCTCACTTTCCAGTTTGTATCACTTTAAAAAAGTACCTGAAACCTTATGCCCTGCTCTATCTTTACAAGAATCAGATCAGACCAAAAATGGTGTATTGCTGCCATATCTGGGGTGGAGCTGCCCAATCCTCACTTTCCAAATTGTATCACTTTAAAATGTACCTGACTTCTTATGCCCTGCTCTATCTTTACAAGAGTCAGATCAGAACAAAAATGGTTTATTGCTGCCATATCTGGGGGGAGATACCCAATCCTCACTTTCCAGTTTGTATCACTTTAAAAAGTACCTGACTCCTTATGCCCTGCTCTATCTTTACAAGAGTCAGATCAGACCAAAAAAATGGTTTATTGCTGCCATATCTGGGCTGGAGCTGCCCAATCCTCACTTTTCAGTTTGTATCACTTTAAAAAGTACCTGACTCCTTATGCCCTGTTCTATCTTTACAAGAGTCAGATCAGACCAAAAAATGGTGTATTGCTGCCATATCTGGGCTGGAGCTGCCCAATCCTCACTTTCCAGCTTGTATCACTTTAAAAAGTACCTGACACCTTATGCCCTGCTCTATCTTTACAAGAATCAGATCAGACCAAAAATGGTGTATTGCTGCCATATCTGGGGGAAGCTGCCCAATCCTCACTTTTTCCTTTAAAAAATTGTATCTCTATCTTTACAAAATGTACCCTGACTGGAGCTGCTTCCACTTTTCAGCCTTTTACAAGAAAGATCAGACCAAAATGGTGATTGCTCATATCTGGGGGGAAGCTGCCCAATCTTTCACTTTCCAAATTGCTTTTTAAATGTACTCCTTATGCCCTGCTCTATCTTTTACAAGAGTCAGATCAGAACAAAATGGTTTATTGCTGCCATATCTGGGCTGGAGCTGCCCAATCCTCACTTTCCAGTTTGTATCACTTTAAAAAGTACCTGACACCTTATGCCCTGCTCTATCTTTACAAGAGTCAGATCAGATCAAAAATTGTTTGTTGCTGCCATATCTGGGCTGGAGCTGCCCAATCCTCACTTTTCAGTTTGTATCACTTTTAAAAGTACCTGACTCCTTATGCCCTGCTCTATCTTTACAAGAGTCAGATCAGACCAAAAATGGTTTATTGCTGCCATATCTGGGCTGGAGCTGCCCAATCCTCACTTTTCAGTTTGTTTCCAGCTTGTATCACTTCAGACCAAAAAGCCATATCTGGGCTGGAGCTGACACCTTATGCCCTGCTCTATCTTTACAAGAGTCAGATCAGAACAAAAATGGTGTATTGCTGCCATATCTGGGCTGGAGCTCACCAGCTGGAATTCCCAGTAGGTTACCTAGATTAATATATACCTGATGAAGGCTGGAGGACACAACAGCTGAAATGTGACAAGAAATGTCTGAATGTAAATAGTGTAAATAAGCAAATATATGGATATAGATCCGACAGTATGAAGAAAAATATACTGAAAAAACAAACAAAAATCCTAGTATGCGATTATGCTGTTTTAATGTTTAATGTCAACGTCGGATGTTTTGGTCTAATAGACCATTTTCACAACATCACTCACGTGACGACGATGTGATCATATTTAAACGGAACGCTGATCTTATAAAAGATTTCAGTTATCTGTCTGGATTGGTATTGTTTTTACGTCCATCGTCTTTTTCATGTTGAATTGTATATGGTCTATGTTAATTATGTTTTATGAATATGTCCTGAAGATGGTCTATTAGACCGAAACGTCCGACGTTTACATTAAACATTAAAACAGCATAATTGCATAGTAGGATTTTTGTTTGTTTTTTCAGTATATTTTTCTTCATAGTGTAAATAATAATAACTCCTCATCACAAAAATTCATACATTTACATTTGTGGTCCTAAAACATAATCATGGAAGCTGTGAGAAATGTTTGTCAGAATTATATAAAGAATATTGATCTTTAGTCATGATATTAATTGGCGAGAGGAGAGGATTGTTAATAGGTGTCTGATTTGGACTTTGGAATTAAAATTATTGGTTGTTTAAATATATACTAAAGAGTACTGAAATGTTATGTAATATCAATACTCCTATATAGCAGTGAATATTGGACAATTTCCTGGCAGAAGAGGAGGAATCCAGCAGCAACGAATATGATGTTCTAGAGACGGATGATGAGAATGGCATGGACAAAGCATTTGAGTAATGAGGATGTTTTAAAGAAAATGGAAAAAAAAGGTTATTTGTACTTAGAATCAGAAAGAGACAGTTGAAATCGCTGAAACACATAATAAGGAAAGAAGGCTTGGAGAATTTGATACTCACAAGATATGTTGAAGGCAACAGGCGCAAAGAGAAATAGCAAGAGACCTACCTAAGTGTTTGTATAAATGGATAGGAGAACATGAATTAGGAGGGATATTAAGAGGAAAACATTACTTAGAAGTACTTTGATAGGAAGTTGTGGAGACCCATGATCAACCATGTCCTGAAAGGACATGGCATAAAAGTTGATCAGTATTTTAGTTTACCTGTCATAATTGGTGATTATTAATTTACCTGCTAAATTTTCACTTGTTATAATTTTATTCAGTTTCCAAATAAAACTCCCATAGACGTTTTTTTCTTTTCTTGCATGTCTAACCTGTGGCACTCCATTCCGATATCTTGCTTACTTACCACCTACAATCTTCAAAAATTCTTCCGTTTTCTTGAACCCGGTTCTTTTATTGTTCTTTCTCATTTCCTGTCACTACCAGTAACCCTTTGCTTCTTAGAGAGGCATTATCACCTTACTTGGGGTGAAATGATAAAAAAAAAAATTAGTCTCACTTACTAACACTCGTCTCTACATGTAACATGCAATCAGACATTTTCGTTAGTATTTGCTTTTCCAGTACTTAAAATTCAAAGTTTTTTACAAATAAATAAATAAATAACTTATGACTATGAGTTCGTTTTTAACAATTACTCCCACGTTACGAAAACGACATTATTATTGGAGCTTTCCTTCCCTAAAACTATGACGAAATTTAAGAGACACACCCACTACGGGGTTTTCCCTGAACAGTGAACTGTGAACACTTAACTCTCGTTTTTTAAATATAGTCGCATTTTCTCAATTTCCTCGGATTTATTTTTACTGATGTCATAAACATCACTTTTTTATATAACTATTTCACAAAATTTCTTAAAAGATCAAGTCAGACACGGTAAGTAACATTTAAACATACAAATAATAATTACATTGTTTTTTAAACTTTCACATAACTTTTTTCAAAAGATCTTTTAAATCCCAAGTGCCCGTAAATGCGACGTCACAAGAATATTTTAGTTTACTTTGATTTTAGTTATCGTAGCAATATGTTTTCATGTTACAAAAAGATCGCTATATTGTCAGATATCTGAGTTTTTAAATGATTGCTTTTATTAGCTATTTAAGCGATAATTAGTTCAGTTGATGAAATTAATCGAAATGGCGACCGCTGTACAACTTCTTGGCTCAGTTATACGCACTTTGGGTAGAAAATAAATAAAGGAAATTAAATGAAAAAAATAGATTTTAAAAGCACGTTAGCTTTTTGCTTCACATTTTTTTAACAATATTTAAGACTTTGTTTTCAAACTTGATTTCATTCTCGAAATGTTAAAAAGTTATTTGATTCTAAAAATTCATTTTAGCTCTAGTCTAGCAACAATAACATGTTGAAAATGTTTCAAATTACTACTACAAGAAACGAGCTCTAGAAAAAAAAACAAGTTAGAAGTTTGATTTTAAAAAATAAGGCTTGTTACTTTTCCATGTTTCCTCCTTTTTACGATTTTGTTGACGGAGTACTGAATAAAAAAATTATCAAATAATAATTAAAAACTGAGTAAAATCAATCAGCGGTTTTCCCTCATTTTTTCTTTGTAAAAAAACGCTGATTGTGTAGTTTATTTCAAATTTTTAAGGACAAATAAATGCGCCTTTTAAACGTTGACACTTGAAAAAAAAAAACCTTTTTGTCACAGTAAAAAATATCAAACAGAAAAAAAACATGATCACGTCTTTAATAAAAGAAAAAATAGCGTTTTAAAAGCATATGTTAAATTGAAAAAACAAACAAACAAGCAGAATAAACATTTATTTTAATTAATCAAAAAATTAGTTTCTGCGCGTTCGGACTATAAGTGTTTTTTGTTTTCCTTGGCCGATAGATTCTCCAGTCTTCCTCATAGCAGAAGTAAAAAAAAGGGTAAAAAAAAAACTTTATTGTGAATTTGCTCTATGTAAAAAACACCCAACGATGTGACTGTTGCACTGGTATGTTCCAGTTCGAAAGAAATAGAAAAAAGAAACAAAAATAAGTTACAAAAAGCACCAATCGAACTTTTAAAAAGACCAGCTGAGAGAGGCCGGAGAAAGTATCGATTGATTGTTGAAACTGTTAGTGTTCTTAAAATAATAAAAATCAAAAAGAATTATGATAATGAAATTAAAAAGCAAAAACAAACACAAGAACTTCAGAAAAAAAAAAAAATTAACTTAAACTACTTTAACTTTATGATTGATTTCTTTTTAGGAAGTTCTTTTTTTGTCCAATGTAATTTCTACTCTCTATGAATTTAGCGGTAGCGGAGGATTCAGTAATCGAAATTCGGCAACGGAAAATTCGGTAATTTTAACAAGGTATGAAAACAACAATGAAATAAAAGTCGATTAAAATTAATTTTAGTGCCGTTCTAGAGTGGGGCTTTAAGGGCTAATCCTCATTCCCCTTTTTAAATATCTGAAAATCGTGAGATCCACATAAAACCCCACTTCAACAATACCAGGACCGTACTTGCAGAAGTGGGGAGGCTTAGGTGGCTAGTATTATTACCTATGGGGGGGTGTCTAGAAAACCCTACTGCAACAATACCAGGGCCGTACTTCCTGAATGGGGGGGTTAGAGGGTTAACCCCCCCCCGATATCTTTAAATCAATAATTACTATTGTTTTCAAACAAATAAAGTTTTTGTATCTTCTTTTTCAAATTATTGTTTTAATAAAAAAGCGTTTTCTTTTTAAAGAAGCAAAACCAAAAACTGTAGTCTAAAAAGTAAAAATTCTATTTAAAAAAAAATATAGCCCCCCAAATGTCCACTCCAGGACGACCCTAAAAAATCAATTTTCAATCGACTTTTTAGTTACCGAATTTTCCTCCCATGTCAAACTTACCGAATTTTCTGGGTACCACAAATTTTATATTGAGTTTTTGACAAATTCTTTTCGATTATAGATGTGAGTTACTTCTTGTTCGTTAGGATAATATTTGTTGATCATTGTTTTTTTCAGGAGGGGCCGTATTTTTTATTTTGGAATATTTATCGGCTTTTTTGTTTCGTATTGAAAGGATTTTTTTTTTTACTTTGGGGCTGTACAATTAGGAGAAATTAAAGTTTTAGAGAAGTGGGTCAAAAATAGGTCTTGCAATGTACGTTGCTTGTAATGCCAAAATGGACACTGTTTGTGTCCGACATTATGACACTGATTAATAATCAGTTTACTTTAAAAATGACTGGACCCTAATTTCGTGTCTGTCTTTTTGTAAATATGTCGTTCATTTTATGGACGTTTTAAAAATAAAAAAGAGGTTATTTCGCTAAATTAAGGTGGGGGGAGTTGGAGTTAAAAAAAGGTAAAAAAAAACATTGAGTTCATTGTCGCAGAAACTACTCTTTTTTAAAGTCTTTCATACTTTTTTTTATAGACATTATGAGATAAGCAAAAAGATCCGCTATTTTCATAAAAACGAACATAAAGGATCCAATTTAACATTAAAAAAAAAAATAACATTGTTAAAAATGTAAATTGACCCCCAAATAAAAACTTTCTCATAAATTGTATCTTAGTAACTAACAACTTTGAAGCTTTATTTTTTTTACTAATTCAGTTTTTCAGCGCTGAAAAATGTCTATTTTTTTTATTGTGATGGATGGTTACAAGCGAGAGGGGAGATGGGATGTGCTTCTGCTTATTTTATTACCACATAAAATTTATGTGGTAATAAAATGTCATAAATTATGGTCTTTATTCAAAGAACATAAGAAAAAAATGTATTATGTAGTAAAAATATTTTTTTAAATGGATTCTTTAACAAAGAATTTAAAAGTAAACAAATACAAAACTAAAAGTAAAAAAAAAAAACAAATCCAGTGTGAAAGCCACTGCTTTCCTTTTTTAGGTGACCGTTTTTATTTGCTATTATTGTGGAAATAAAATATTATCAATTATTTCCATTTTCATGTTAAAAAAATTACTATTGAATTTAATTTAACTTTGAAAATCTCATTTTTCTCAAAACAAGGTTACACAGGACAAAAAAGTGAAATGTCCACAATACGGCGCAACAAAGTGATAAGTTTTTTTTTTTTAATTTTATGCAGTGTAACTTGACGATTGTGAATAATTTTGAAGCGAGAAAATAATTATCACTTGTCAATTCTGCTAGCTATAATCAACGTTCAACAGCATCAGTCACTCAACTGCTTCAATCGTTAGGTGAGATCAGAAGAAACTGACTTTGATTTTCCTTCCTCATGATTTCAGTAGGCTTTCAGATAGCTTGACGGCGCACATCTCCTCTCAAAGCTCTTGTCCAACAGCCGAAGACCACAGAATATGGTGTGAGTCGTCCTCGGTTCGCATAGAGGTGTCCTTTTCGTAAAGGCTATAGGACTCAGCTAATTTAATTTACTCATAATTTTTCTTTATTTGGTGAGGGGGGGTCGTACTTTTCTCATGGGTGGGATTGTAATAAAAATATAATCAACACTGAAATTCGAACTCGAGCCGCAACCATTACTCCAGCGTGCCTCATCATCACAACAATAGCATAACAATCAACAAATCAAGTTACATTTATTATGGATTAAAAATGCATTGTATTTTTTAATTTTTATTATAAAATCTATATATTTTTTTTTGTTAGTTTTCTTCAGGCTAAAAAAATATTGACTTCAGTTTGAACGAATTTTGTGTTTTTTTAATTTATCTCTTCAGTTTTCATAAATCCGAAAAGATTATGAAATGTGAAAAATAATGAAATACCTTTCTTTGTAACTTAAGTTTTTATAAATTTAAGAAATTTAAGATTATTTTAAAAATAATAACCGGGCACACGGTCATGGACTGGAGATAGACAGTGACTTGAATAAAAAAACAAAAAACAAAACAATTGACTAAAAATGGAATAAAGCCTAATTAACTAAAATAATTATGCAATCTCATCACAATATTTTGAGTCAAAATATTGTGATGAGATTGTCAAAATTTTTGACAAGTACACGTACACTTTTAGCCACATGGACAATTGTCACGATTAATTACAATCTTTTATTTATATTGTGTATATATCGTTAATCAATTCATAATTGCAATATTAGGTTGAATAATTGCTTATTGAGGGTGGCCTAAAGGTTACGGTCTTTTAAAGATGTTATTTTTCTTAGGTTTTCTTTTCTTTGTTGAACTCATTCTTCGCCATCGTAAAAAAAAAAAAAAAAAAAACAGTCAGTGTAAGTCTGTTTAGTAGTGTTTAAGTTTTTACTTACTATGTAGTAGTGTTTATTAATTCCCTTTAAAATTTTACTTAAATTTACAATTCCAATGCTTTGATTACTGTAGTTGTAGTAAAATAAATTAACATACAATATTGTCTCATTGACATTTTTTACTTTTCAATTAAAAATATTTTAAAATTGACGTAGAAAAAAAAGTTACTTAGTGCAACTTTAAATTATAATTTTAATTTGAAAGCAAAAAGACATTTTTAACTGATTCTTCTTATTATTTAAGAATTAACCAAGAAAATCATTGGGGCGTTTACTTGTTAATTTGTGGATGAAATTTTAAACTTTTTAGTAATTTAATTATTACACTTGTGTGTGTACTATTTTCTAAGTATTTTTTAAATAGGTCAACCTGTTGAGTGTTGGGTAATTTTCGAAGTTTTTATAAAATTTATACGCAACGCTGAAGACGAAAAACAATTGTTTTTTTAAAATAAAATTAAAAGATTATTTGCTATTATTAAATTATAATATTAAAAAGATTTTATAAATAACTATTATTTTATTTAACATTTTTAATTTATAATCGTGACACTTAGTGACAATATCGTTCTTCTTACATAATTATTTCGGTGTGTACTCTAAAATAGATAATAATTGTAATGTAACCCCTACC